CGGATAAACCGATCACGTCCCATTTTAGGTTATCGAGCATATATTCTAGCTCCAAATATCTAGTTTTATTCACTAAAGATCTCACGTTGAAAGTACAGATATTAAATAAGGTAAGATTTTCCTTTTTGTTCTTATATTTTTGGTTTTCAGGAACAGGAGGGTTTTGGTCATCTTCCCCCACGGTGACCAACCGGCTTGGGGTGCATTTTTTTGTTGGTTTGTATGAAGTTATGATATTTGTTCTATTTTGGTTCCTGGTGCCGGTGGTCTTTATAAGTTTTTTGGGATCTCAGAGAGTGAAGCAGATCTGCCTCGTTCAATGTAGTTCAGTATGTTGGGTTTTAAGATTTCTCTTCCCTTCATTGATGTAGTAGCTGGGTTGTCCTTTAAGTCTATTTTTTTTTGTGATGAAGAGTTCGGTGAGTCCAGACCGTCTCTTTTCCTTTTGTCTCTGTTTATTCCTGGTGGTTTCTTAACTATTATCTTATCATGCCTTAAAAAGGCTATGTTTCCTTTTTTTCTTTCTTCTTCCACTTGTACTTGTAATTTCTTCCGTTTTTCTAGCACTTCTTTGGTGTAGTCTTCTTTCACATAAATACCTTGAGGAAGCTTTGACTTATTTTTCAGAATCAGGTGTTTTTTCCAAAGGGACGTGATGGAGACTACGATAGGCCGGTTTTTAACAGTTTCCTTGTTGCCAATTCTGTATATATTGCTAATTTCCTGGCTACTTAGGTGCGTCCCTGTTTCTAGAATCGTGTCCTTGAGGTAGTCTACCAGTTCCGCTTCTGTTTTGCCAATCTCCTCAAAGCCAAAAAAGACCAGGTTGTATTTCTTTTTCTCTCTTTCCATGACATTAAGTTTTTGCTCCAGTGTAGATATTTTGTCTTTGAGCATAGTATTTTCCTCTGTTAATAACTTTAGTTTCTCATCTAATGCCTCCATAACGTTTTTCGTCACCGACTCTGTTATTAGTTTAGCTTGTTGATTCAATTTCTCATCCAATCTTGATAGCAACAACTCCATACTTTTTTCCATTTTGTTTGGTTTTACAATGCTGGTAGGATTTAGATTGTCGTTGCTGGCAACACTGACTCCGTATGTCAGTCAAATGACGTTGGTTGGTTGTCAAAGTGAAGTATGTTGATTATGTTGGCAGCACTACTATGACATGCAATAATTTTCACTTTTAGGTTAAGTTGTTGCCTGATTATTTGTAGTTTTTTGTTCACTAATGGTTGTTTAGCACTTTGTTCACTTTCTTGTTTCGTTTTTTGTTGTCTAGTCTGATAGTTTTCGTGTTGAGACACTGTTATTTTACACTTTTTACGTTAAAATGAATTATTATTTGCGGAGGGCTTTGACGTACGTGTTTACGTTTCGAACACCGGAACCGGAATAATTAGTAGTTCCTACGAAAATGATTTTCACACATTGCACATTCACATGCTTGCTGACGTTGACGTTCATTCAGAGTGACGAGTTATTAAACTCTTCCAAAAGGATAGTCTAGACCGGAATGCGTTCCCAGTGTCTCTAGTACTTTAATACCTGAGTCTGGACCTGAATCCTGTACCCGATATAGCACCACATTAAATTCTTGAAGCCTTTTTTGTGTGTCTCGTGTCAGAATTCCCGAACAAAAAATCGTTCCTACAAAACTGATATATAAGGTGGACCTTGATCTCATGCATAGAGATGAATTTATGAAAATGAATCCTGACCCGAATTTATGGATGATTATGATGATGATAGACAGAGGCAAAACAGATGTACAAAATTTAACCCAATAATAAAATAAATAACTCTTGCATCAATTTGTTTGATAGATAATTAATAACGGATGTTCATGTTTCTGATGTATCTTTTCTCCGATTTATTTTATTCCCTGACGGTCATAATGCAATCTCGCACCAAAGCAGTGACCCTTAGCCATTTAAGAGGAATGCTGTCAATTCTACACGTGAGCTTCTGGCAATTCCAATATAAAGAACGCAAGAAGAACTCGGATTTTAAAAATCTAAATATCGGAGAGCTCAAAGTTTAGTTTATAAGAATTTTCCAAATTGGTTTATTAACTACGGAGTTCTAGGGTAGGTAACAAACAAATGAAATATTGCCAAATTCAGAAGACCTCCTCCTCTTTTTCTTGAAGTTAGTCAAAAAAATAACACGGTAATATTATTTAGTTTTGTTATTGCTGTTGATGTGGCAATATAAATACACACCCTAAAATAATTCTACTTCTTCTCGCGCATGGGCACGAAGATAAGTCTTTGGGGACCAGGAAATTAACATTTTTTATTTGTTATTGTAGTGTGAATGTAAATACACACTCTGTGAGCATTATAACTGTCATATACGGTACACAGAAGGCTTTTACGGTACACGAGAAATAGCCCGCTGAAAGACAGATGGTCGCCGGCAAAATAACGTTTCTTTCTGAACGTTTTAACTGCGTACTGGAATAGGTACACCTTTAAATGTGCGGAATGTCTGAATAGTAGGTACGTTAGACGAGATATAGCTCACTGACCAACAAGCAGATGAACACGCAGCGGAACCCCAAGAAATAACAAAAACATTGAATGACGAGGATGTTCAAGGAATGAATTCGACCGTTCCATTTCATTTTTGTCTGTATGTATAACTATTTAAAAAGCAGGATCGTCAGGCAAACAGTAAGTAGGGTCAGGTGGCTGACAAGTGTAAACCTCCAAATATAATACCGTTCCAAATAAAAAATGTTTTTCTCCTAATTAGTCCGATGCGGGCAGCACAGGACCGGTTTTTGTAGCGAACCTGTGGGAAGGCCTATGTCCCGCAGTAGCTGATGATGATGTTGATGATGGTTAATGGAGTTCTAAGGTAACAAATATAAAAAATACAAGCAAATGGAGAACTTTGCAGATGATAGCCAATGTACGAGAGGTAGGATGTGTCCCATGGAGATGATATCTGCGTCTCGGTGAGAAAGAGCAAGGCCGGCTTCACTGTCTCGAGTTGGTGGTGGACAGCGTTGAGGTTGGAGTGAAGGCCCCTTATATTGCTTTTTTTCCCTTTAGAAGTTTATTTGCCCTTTTTTGAAGTCGATTAAAAAGAACTAATTAATACGTTATATATATTTCAAATGGTCTTTGTACAATATTAAAATAAAAAATAAAAAATTACTATATACGTAGGTATATGTACGTACTTATCCGTAATCTTGTTATAATAATCTGTTCCTCGCTACTGGCCGTGATTTCCCAGCGGTCATTTACCTCCGTTACACTTTACTTTCTAAAACTTGTGCATCTGAATATAGTGGATGAAGTTCTTAATTAAACAAATCTACAATAATTGGACTGCACGGATGGCGCAGTGGTTTAAGCGGCCGCCACGCCGCTTACTAATACGCCGATTGGGGGTTCGATCCCCACATGGGACGACACTTTGTGTGATCCACAAATTATTGTTCTGAGTTTGGGTGCACTTTGTGTCCGTTTCATGTATGTTTGTAGAGTCCTCTGCGACGCAGGATATATTCTTAGTGCAGGAGTTGTAAAAAAAAAAACAAAAAGAATATGTATGTCGTTTTATTTCAGACTAGCTGACACGCGCAATTTAGTCTTCCCTGATAAACGGTCTATCTTGTTTAAAAATACTATTTCAATTCGAACCAGTGATTCTTGAGACTACCACGCTCAACCAACCAAACAAACAAACTGCTCAGCTTTTTAATATTGGTATAGATTTGAGGGGAACGCGAAATAATCTACTTCCTTAAAAAACTTAGAATACGTGGATTAACGACTTATCCTCTATATCATTCAGCGAATGTGACTTAAAAACATGGCAATAACATAAATGGTTGGACGGTGGTCATAGAAGTACCTAAGTCTACGAAGATTTTAATTCATTTTTTTTTTATAATAACTTAATGCAGAAGTTGTACACAGGCGAACTTACTGCCCAGGTCATTTTAATTAACCAATTTTAAACAATTGTCGTGCATTATGAGTTAAAAAGGTATGCATACGAATTTATAATGGTTTAAATTAAAAATAAGTAAATTACAATATTTATTAAACTATAACCGAAGAACCGACAACCGTTGGGGAAAACGAGTCCTTGAGTGGGGACCGCGTCTCGGCAAACGTAGTGTAGGACGCCCACAGGCCAGGTGGAGTAACGATTTGCGCAAGATGGCTGGCAGGAGCTGGATGCGAGAAGTACAAAATCGATCTAAGTGGCGTGCAATGGGAGAGGCCTATGTCCAGCAGTGGACTGCGATAGGCTGATGATGATGATGATTAAACTATGTTTTGTTAAGGAATTTAATAACTAAAAATAAATGGAAAGTAGAAATCATGGATTAAATGTTGGAAAACCATTATTCCGTGTCTGCAAAATAGATAACAGCTTTTTATGGTATTTCTTTTAATGATAATAGTTTTGCAGATGTCAATTGTGTTGTATTGCGCTATCAACCAGTATTGAGGCCGGTGACCAAAGCCCGATTTGGACACCGATTTCGCAAAAATTATCCTGATTATTCTTAGTTTCTTTTTTAGATTGAACTAGGTAACTACGTAACTGTGTGCTGTCTGGGTACGTTTATATTCATTTCTAAGAGCAATGAAGGCACGTTAGCCGAGAAATAAATGATTTTGTTTAAAAGCAGTTTAGGCTATGTTCTATGGTGTTCCAAGGATTTCTTACTGAAGCTGACGTAATGAAACCCCTATTCATCCCGTGGGTGTCGTAAAAGTCGACTAAGGGAGAAAACTACGCAAGACAACAGCACTGCAAAGAGAAGGAAAACTTGAAACAAACCCTATACCAACCCGTCTGGCCAGCGTGGTATAGTAGGCCAAAACCTCCTTTCTAAGGAGAGGCACATGTCCAGCAGTGGACTGTCACAGGCTGTTAATGTGATGATGTGATGTGATTTGTTTTGCATAAATGTTAAGTTCTTATAAACGTTGAAACATCGATAGTATTATGTTAATACCGGAATGACGACTTCGATAACATTTGTGATGGATCATTATGTAAGTATGTAAAAATCAATAAATAAATACAAAGTTTATACTAGATTTTTCTGACCTAAAGTTAATGTTTTAAGAATTAAAACTTTAGTTTTTATTTTCAGACAGTTTTTTTCTGACCTATGAAAGATATAATTAGTACTATCCTTTATGTTCGTTTTCCGGAGCATTTCCCTAACACCCTGTATATTTAAAAGTCAATGTCATTCTTAATAATTCAACAACTCGACAATAGAACTATTAATAAAATGAATGTAGAATTAATAGAATTTTCAAGAAGAATTTGGTTGAAGAATATATTATTATTCTAGAATGAAAGGCTTATTCCCAAAGACCACCAACAAAACTGTCATCACTGGTGGTCGTTGGAAGGAAATTGTACATTGTACAACCTATAATTTTGTACAATAAGCCGAATGAAGCCACGGCGGGGCTGTTTTCTTTTCAGTATCTTAAAAAAGACAACTCCCGCATTAGGAATATATCGCGGGGGACTTTACAAACATACATGAAACGACACAAAGAACACCCAGACTCAGAACAACAATTTGTGGATCACACAAAGTGTCGTCCTATGTGGGGACCGGACCCACATCACTTAGTAGTAAGCGGCATGGCGACCGCTTAAACCATTACGCTATCCGAGCAGTATGAACACCAAATATGAACTTAAGTGTGTAACAGTTATTTTTTTAGTATATTTGTATTGCGTACGGACTTGTTAACAGCGACACCTATTGCCCTAGTCGCATTTTGTTTGATTTATCCAAAGTTGTTTGTAGCTACAGTATTGATGTTCTTCGTTCGCCGTCGGACCACTGGATGGCGTTTGTTTTGTAGATAAGTCATTTTAGTAATTTATCATGACAAATTGTATAGGTATTAAGAGTGTTTTGTTATGGTAGGAAGCGAGTTACTTTTGATTTTGTTCGTGTTAACCTCGTTGATAATTTAAATGTCAAAGTAAAATGTTAAGTAGGGATTATTTCTGGAAACTTCGGAAACCGAACATATATAAGTCCGGCTTGCAGCCACGGGAGACACTCTGCTATCTCGTGTTTTCCAATCTTAAATAGTGTTTTGATTGTCTTGTGATTTTATTTTCATAATATATTATCTGTTAAAAGTACCCACGAAAGTGGTGAGTATATTATTAATTTTTCTTATATCTATTTGTTTCTGGAACCTGATCGATAATATGAGTGCTAATCCATTCGTAGGGTCCCAGATTTCGGGGTCAAGACGGTCAGTCTCACACGGCGTGCTTGTTCGTTTGTGGCCTTCTGGTTCGGATTCAAGTTTCTCGGTACCCTCTGGCAAGCTGGCAGTCACGCGGCTCACAAAGCAAGCGGACAGCCGTACCCAAGGGTTACGTACCTCTATTTAACTTTATAAATACCAATTGTGAACTTTTCTCAATACCTAATATAAATAGCCGACTCGGGCGGAAGGGGAAGTGACCTCCTGGAGTGAAGACTGATTAATTTATTTAATTTTTTTATTGTAACTTTAGGTCAGCCGGTGAGTAGTCCGCCTGAGAAGAAAAGCGGCTACAAGTGATGTTTATTTAGAAAAATATTTGCCGTTTTGGCATGGTAATAGGATTGCCCTTATTAGCTAAGTGGGACTAAAATGATACTCGGCAAAATGCGGACATTTACCGTGTGGCGACCCCTCCAGGGAAAGAAGAAGTCAGTGTAAGTATGTACCGAACTATGGAAACGTTCGTGTATTGCAGTGGAGCAGGAATGTTAGACATACCAATTTCTCAGACGTACAATTTTTCAGGGTCTTGTACCATATAACAAGTAAAAATTGTGCTGGTACGCATTAAAACCAACTTTCTACAATGATATAACAATACATAAATTATATATTATTAGTTACAAGATTTTTACAATAGTTTTCTGGCTGTACGTCATAGTTACGAGTACAACATTGACTATTGTAAAAATTAACTGTTCACTAGCTGACCCGGCAAACGTTGTTTTGACATATCCATTATTACTAGGCAATATTGAAAAAAAAAAAATTAGGGGACCCTTGTCATTTAGGGGAATGAAAAATAGAATATGTTGGCCGATTCTCAGACCTACCCGATGTGAACACAAAATTTCATAAAAATCGGTCCAGCCGTTTCGGATTAGAATGGTAACTAACATTGTGACTCGAGAATTTTATAAAAGATAATGATATTTATTTTTGACACATTGAGTAACTTACTTCAAATCAGAAAATAGTATAAAAATTCGGTCATTGTAACTTACGGTTGATTTTTGTTTTTTTTTTTTCAAATTATGTATAGACATTTGTAAGATGTAATAGTAAAACGTCAACGAATAATTATAATAATAATTATTAGTTAGTTAATAATCACTATTATTGTTAATTTTCATCAGGTAGGATTTTTTTCAAATAATTCAAAATTTAATTTAATAGAACATACAAAATACACTTTTTTTTTTTTATTAATATAACGTTATTGTCCGTGTACCATTTTTTTTTCAAATACCAGCTTTTAGAGCCTTTTAGCGACATCTGTACCAGTTTTGGCCCACCATAATCTAACATCCCTGCAGCGGAGCGCGATGGCATCTTGGAGTTTAACGCTTACGCCTCGTTTCGTCCCCGTACCAATCAAATATGAAATCACAACAACAATTTGATTTCCAGTGTCGTCAAACCAACTGAATACACTCTGTAGTACTGACTAACTGAAAACCTTGAAGTCAAGGTTTAGATAAATACTGGGAAGTTTTTGACAAAATAAACATTTCAGATATCAATTTTTTTGAAATTGTCATCATCATCAACAGCCTTTAATAGTCCACTGCTGGACATAGGCCTCTCCTAGTTTTGGCCTACTATACCACGCTGGCCGGACGGGTTGGTACAGGGTTAGTGTCAAGTTTTCCTTCTTTTTCCTTAGTCGGCTCTTACGACACCCACGGGATGAATTGGGGTAGTGACATTCCGTATTCTTAATCCGTCACTACACAGACCTTGTCATGAAGAATATTATTTACTTCCTTGTTTACTAGTACCCTAAAACAAATCCTGTTTGCGCCCTTTATTATTACGTAATAATTACTTTAAATCGCATTTAAATTTCAAGAATCACTTTATTTTTAATTACTGGATCATTTTATCGCATCCCTAAGTTCTAAGCATCATAAAGTATTTTGGGCCAGACATATACCTAAACGATAATAAACTTTAAATAAACGTTAAATGACTTTAATTTCAATATTTCGATAAAGTTGCATCAAACTTTAAAATATAATTTTAGTAAACAGGGCTCACAGTTCCATATTACTTAACTGTACTCAGAACTTCACAAGTCCTGGCAACAATCCTGTATATAGTTTGGCCCACCCTTTTTTTAAGCCAATATGTACCATATGAAACAATAATTAAGAAAAACTTCGAAACGGTAATTATTTCACCGGCCGGCATTTTGTACACGGTTGTGCAGTGCTAGTGAATGTATCGCTAGCCAGTTACTATAATCCGACTAATTTATAATATATTAAAATCGAGGTATCCACTCGCATACAGCCAGTGTGTCAGTGCCTTCACAAGTCCGCGGCTGCATGCACGCGTGATTACAAATTGTGGTATTTTAAAGTTGGTGTTTTTTTTTATCGGAATATTTAGTATCTATCTAAGATTGCGCGGAACGGAACCGGTTTATAACAGTAAGTTTGATTTTATTACATAATTTTGTTTTCATATTATAATTTTATTGATTAAATTGTGTTTAAAGTTTGATTTATTACATAAAAGAACAATTGAATTGTGAATGTATTTAACGTGTGACTTCTTGATCCTGTCAATTAGCATATTAGGTACTTATCAAGCATATTTTGAGGTTAGTTGTTGTTTAAAACAAATTAATGTGTGTAGGTATAATGTGAAGGTCATTCGTAGTATCTAGTTATATTGTATATTATGCCGAACTGTCTCTAAACAGAGTTGACGACTGTGGAATATACTTATATGCAGAACAACCAATAATGAAGTAGATAGCATTCGTGGACGTATAAAAAAAAAAGCTTTTTTTATACTTACATAATTGCATTGTTATTGCGCCTCATACATTTCCAATAAAAAAGTGAAATTCATAAAAGACGATATTTATGATGCTTGTTGAAAACTGAGACTTATTATTATGAGATATTTATTAACTTAATGTGTTAGGTACTTTAATATTAATTCGTTTTAAACTTAACGGTACAAAAACGGTCAGTTTAAAAAACTTGCCTAATTCTAGTCTAGTCCATAAAGTTTAGGTAGATACCTTATTTATTTTTTGTTTTATACACATATCTACCTACAATGGACGAGAAAATGAAAATACTACAACACGGAGACAAATCACAGAAATCAAACATCATAAAAAGCGGTCCAGCCGTTCTTGAGTTATAAATAGTGCAACTAACCAATCTTTGTTTTATTAATTAGGATTTACACACCACTCTGATCATTGCCATTTTATCCTGTGAATTCCTAAAAGTGCTCGCATTTTGAATAAAGCAGCCCTTTATATATCTATTATTTATCTGATCATGTATCAGGGTCTCATGACTTCTAAGTACTGTAATATCGGGCAGTATTTTCCCCTGGGATAGGGCCTGATTAGGCATGCTGTCAATTCGGGGACGACCTAAAATAATATGGTCCGGGTCCTCCCAGAGTAGGACACCTGAGGCCCGCCGTCGGGGTGGTTTTTAATGGAATCACCACATAATCCTGGCTCCTGGGTCCCCGAGGTGCAGGAGATCCAAAGGGATTTTCCACACCGTCAAGACAAAAAGTACTGTAATATCGATATCATTATCTTACTGTAATTTTCCTAATTTAATTAACACATTATTATGGCCCTTTATATTTGGCCACGTGCCTTACGTCAACCCTTTTTGGCAGAATAATCATTTTCAAATGGTAAAATGGAAGGAAAGTGGATAGGGCGAGGGTGCTATGGTAAGGCATACCATAAGTCTTGGATGGAAACGAAACTGAGACTGCAGTTCGAAGAGACCTTGGACGCTTACCCGTGAGTCCATCTTGTATTTGGAAGCCACTAGGATATCATCTAGCCTTTTATTTATTTCACAGTTATGTTTTTACAATTGTAATTATTTAAAAGTTTGATTATGGGTAAAAATATTCGTTTATCCCGTAAACTGTTTATCCCTATGAAAACAAAAACCTCATTCCACCACTTTTCAAGATAATTGTCGCTTGTCGGACCGATCCTGATCTTCAAGAAAACAGCGCAACCAAAGCAAATCTTTAGTGGAAGGGCCCTATTTAAAATTGAAATATTTAAAAATCGCACAACTTTTTCCTGTATCTACGTAAATGTTTTTTCACCTTGAAATTGTATTCGTATTGTGCTCCGAATGTTTAAAATAAAAATTAAAGTGCACACTTACCATATACTCGTAAAGTGCAGGGTTAATGACGTTCACCAGGGACTTCCTTTCACCAGGGACTTCATTTCTAGGGTATACCTGGTTCCCCGGCTATTAGTACCCATGCGTGCAGGTTTAGTCGGTTCAAGTCCGACATGCCACCGATAGGTGGTATCCGAGGGGATTGCCGCACGGAAAAAAAAAGGTTAATGACGTCATATATACGCGCGCAGTCGCGAATGAAAAAATTGTCATTGTTTTTCTCACCTTTTTGATAGTACAGTTACACTTCTTTTATTAGTGTTAAATAGTATTAATACTATGACTAAGAAGTTTATCAGTTCATTGTTTCTTCCAAAATAATAACTTAATTTCATATTCGCGGTAATAAACACTGTTCAGCTAAATTCAATGTGCTATTTTAAATTTCTAATAGTTCTCAGTCAGTAGCGGTGAATGTACCGGGGTCTACTTAAAATTAAAATCTTTACATCACATATTTTTTATTTGAATAAATTTCAATAATCCTAAAGTTCTTGCTCATGGGTCTGAAACTCAGTAATTTGGTAATAGGTTTACAGTTAAAAAGTAACTGGAATATCCAATTATGAGTCACGCTCGATGGTTTTGCTCGTCGATTCTTTTTTTAGAAAACTAATGTACGTTCTAGACGTGATGAACTTAAAGAAGTCATAACTGGCGCACACATTGAAAAGAGAAATTTCACAAATACATTAAAAAAAGTTATTTTCTCCAAACGGCACTTTCGCGTGACAATAAAATATGACATTCAAAATGCAACACGTTCCGTTATGATTATCATCGCCTAAACTGGTTGTAAGTTTAAAAAGTAATTGAGTCCAAGATAAAAAAAAGTAAAAGTAAAATCATAGATTTCGGAGTAAAGTGCACTTTTAAAATTTAATATTCCCTCCATTGAAATAAAAATTTGAATTGAATTTGAATTATTTTAATTTTAAAATTATTTTAACTAAAAGAGAAACTTAAGAAAAATTATCAAGTTAGGGCTTTCTAAGAAGAGGACCTCAACGTGGTAATTGTTTATTTTATTGTTTTTTGTTACATTACATACATCTTAATAATAAATTAAATTGTTTTTTTGCCCAACCCGGGTTCGGTGCCTTTTCTTCTTCCATTCTTCTTGATCACTCGACGTTCTTACAAGCACTCCTTCATTTCATTGCGTAATGGTTTCGGCTTTTTCTTTTATGGCCGGCAGCTTCCTTGGGAATGTTATTGTTCTTCATACTATATATGTAATGAAGTGAAAGATATTTGGGTATACCAAACAGCCAGGGTTTTTCCTATTGTTAAATCAAACAGCTTCAGAATTCACAACCCTTTTTTCTGCAGGGCCGTTATCACATTTAAAAAAAAATACTCTTCCTTAACGTGTGGTTTAAACCAGACATTAAAAAAAAAACAACATTCTACCTATTAACAAAGCCAAAGGTACCTAGACAACTTAGAATAAAAGTAACACTACTCGTGTTTCATCACATGTAACTTCTCAGATTAAATGAAATTAAGTGATACATGAATCTTTAAGACCAATTAAGTGACTAATCAACAGTGTGGATTAATCTCCTAATTTGTCGATCAGAGGCTCCGATTCGGAGCTAATGCTATGACTTGTAAGGTTTATACGCAGATGTATATGGCAGATGTATATAGCAGTGGACTATCAAAGACTGTTGATGAGGATGATAGTATAGTATACTCGAAAAACATGTTCCTCCTTTTGGCACATTTGGGTAAACAGATGTATATACGGAATTACGGACTTAATAAATGCAGAAATAAGACTTAGGTTGGTTATAATATTAATTAGATACCTATCACTTTATAAATCGGCTACTCCATGATTATACTGAACTAGGTTAGGTACTTATCTAAAATACTTATATTTAAAGCGCGTTCGACGCCATTGTTGTATAACTATTAGGTACTTCTGTAGAAATGTTTTTCTTTTAAAGGTACGCCTACATTGTGATGAATAGTAACAAACTGTGTTATTCACTCTTTAGTTATCCACCCTTAGGGGCACATTTAAATTGGACCAAACGAAGTGTACCCTTCCAAATAAAAAAAAAACATTCCAAGTCGGTTTATAAATGACGGAGTTCTGAGCCTAACAGACATAAAAAATCAATATCTAAAAATATGAATTTCTATAATAACTACGTGGTGACATAACATGAACATTTATGTTAAAAAGGCGATATCAAAAGTTTTATTATCAAAAATGGGTGTAGGGTACAATTATCTACAAGGTCAGTACCAGTCACTGGTAGCGGTGATGCAAGAATCTGCAAGATAAATGCCCTTAGTACAGAGGTGAATAAACCTACTACCCTTGACATTTTATTTTAAAATATCATTGTCAACGTATATTAATGCAGTCTTGAGCAATACTCTCGAGTCGAATATCTGCAGGTCAGCAAAACGCGTACATAACAAAAACAAAATGGATGCCTGTCATTATGTATTTGATTGGATCGATATGAATTTTCATAAAATATCTAGGTAATAGTTAATTAAACTAAGTAAATAAAGTATTTTAATATATTTTTATGATTTTGTTTTTATTACCTATTTAATTTAAGCTATTTAGTTAAAGACGTTTTTTGAGCAATAATATTATATCCAAACAAGAGGTTAATACGCCACCAACTAATTAAGACCACTGCAAGCAAGCGCACGTACTAATTAATTCAAGAAAATTCATAAAATGCCTTCCTGTGTATTCCGAAAGTGCACAAATTAGGACAAAAAGGTAAAAAAAGATAGGAATATCATACGTGTTGTTCTAAAATGCATTAATAGATGTATGTACGGTTACGGAAGAAATATTTTGTACATGCAGTAAGAATATAAAGTATCTCCCTTAAAAATATAATTGGCTGTAGCATAAAGAATTTTTACGATCATGAGATTCGCGATAAGCACTGCAAACGTTAATAACCTCACTAAGTGTCTTTTTACCCGACTGCGCAAGAATGATTCTCTTTTTCGAGTGTATGTATAAATATTTCTTGAGCACGCTCTGTAGCCTAAATGGCTTGATGGGTGACACTGTCATCATCATCAAAAGCCTTTAAGAGTCTACTGCTGGACAAAGCCCTCTCCTTAGAATGGAGGTTTTGGCGTACTATACCACGCTGGCCAGACGGGTTGGTATATGGTAACGGATTAAGAAAATGGTGTGTCACTGTAAGAGCCGACTAAGAGAGAATGACTGTGGTCGTGCGATTTTTAGT